TTTGCCAGCCGACAAGCCAACTCCAACATTGGAAGATGATAAAGAGCAAACAGTTAGCCAAGCGATGTCTGAGAAGAAAGTAACTTTAGAAAAACCAGGATTCCAATTCTCAGGTTTCAGCAAATTCAGTTCAGAACAGAACCTCTGAGTTAAAACAAGGTGCATTTTTGTAAAATATAAGAAATTCGCAAAATTTATTCTAACCGCTCTTAGTTATGGACGGTGCCATTCCAAAGGCAAGTTTAGAAGACCTTGACGAGCAAGAAGAAAATCAGATGGACAAGAATATCAACACTGGAACAAAAGCTATAGTGCGGGAAAATGAAGTCGATCATGATTTAAGTCCACAGATACCATCGACTGCTCCTACATGGCAGGAAAAGCGTAACTATAGCTTTGGCGAATTTGGAAAAACAAGTGGTTATTTTCTTACATTTGGTTTTAGACATGAGCCTCGAAAGCAATAAAGAGAAGAGGGCGATTAACGTGTCGGAACCCAAGTCGAAAAATCGGTCAGCACAGGGAATCACTAGTAAAGCTTCTAATAAATTACACACGACGAAATTGAATCCTAAGGCTGAATTAATAAAAGGTAAGGGTCGTAAGTACATTTTCTAGAATATTATTGGCAGGAAACTCCTAACGCTAATAAAAAAATGTAGGTTTCAGAACAAATCATTTCGATGGAAGTTTTACCCAAGAAAATAAAGAAAGCGAAGCCAAAAGCTAATCTTACGAAGAAAAAAATTAAAACTATACAAAGATTCCCTCAGCCTGATTTTGATATGGCACAGGAGCCGGACGGACGGAAAGAACAAAGGTAAATGAAAATTTTGCGATTTTATTCACAAGTGGTAAATAAACAACGCGAAATATTATATAATTTGATACCCTGAAAATTGTTCACTATTAGATACCAAAGCGGAAAATTTTGCAATAACCGTAGAAGAAAGCAAACCCAAACGCGCAAGAAAAACGAAATCAGATCGCATAAATAATGTCACAGTTACCAGTGAGCCCGCAAAGTCTCCAAAGTGTAATAATAAAAATTATTTGCAAACAGACAACATTGAAGGAATTACAGCTGCTCAGAAAAATGGTGAGTTTTTCCAGCGTTCTAAAAGTGATATAATACAAAACTCAATTTGATAAAAATTAATTTAGACTCTAAAATGGACAAAGCAAACGGGTTAAAAATTGAAAAACCCAAAAAGCACTGTGAAATCAGTGAGAGAGCAGCTAACTCAGAAAGTTTCCCTAAAGCAGAAATACAAGCGGTTGAACCTGGATTCGAAAAACTGCGTAGAAACCAAATCGGAAGGTATTCAGCATTTATAGCAAAATAAGAACATTCTATAGTTTTTTTTGTTTTCCACATTCCCAGATGAAGCGAAAGAAAAAACAAAGAAAAATGCAAAGCTGATAAACATTTTGAACGTCCAGACTTTTAGCTTCCTCTGTAGTTTAAGAATACTGGTACCTTAAACGCGTTGATTCGCAAAAAGCACCTAAAATTGAGAATTTACTGGCAGAACCCATTATGGAAAATTCTGCAAAAGAGCCTTTGCAAAGCAATGCAATTACAGGTGTGAACGGTATGGAATATATTTCGTGATTTTGATTTTTCAATACACTTTTTCATGACACTTTTTTAGACAACTTGTCAACATCAGTAGTTTCCAACCGCATAATTGTAAAGGCAATGGTACATAATAATGCTAATGGAGAGAAAGAAGGTAAATACGAGGCAAATTAAAAATAGGTTCAGTTTTATTTTGGTGAATTAATAAGTTGGGTTCCGTTTAGTGCTTGGTTTTTGTTGCTCGTTTGAACAAATTCCGATTAACAATAATAATTAGTCAACTGTATTATGATATCATTTCTAGCAGCAATAATATCAAGTACACCAATCGAGAAGTCCATACATAATTGTGAAACTTATATCGCTGCCAGGTAAGGATTAGGATTCCCTTTACTCCATAAAATATTGAATTTTCAAATTTCCAGATGTGAACCTAATGATTTATCTCCAGATAAATGCGACATTTATTTGCTAAATAAATCGGAATCGTCAACTCCCGAAGTCAGTACAAGTTATTCAGACCATTACGATTGGCCTGAGATAAATGTTGAAGATACAAAACGGGAAAAAATCCGTATTATTCGGAATATTGCGGTAAGTTCAACGATTCCAAATAATGCGGTTTGCAAAATGTGTAAACACATTCTGCTGGTTTAAGAACGATTTTTAGCCAGTCTAACTAAAACCGTCAATGTTTTCCTTTCGTATAGCTAAAA